CTATCCTAAGATCTTACCTTCTCACAAAACCCAAAAGGCTCATCTATTGAACATGACACTCAGGAAAATATTCACATTGGCACTCACCCTGTAAAGCAGGGGTCCCAGGTACCAGGCTGTGGCCTGTTAGGAACCGGGCTGCACAGCAGGAGGGGAGCCGCTCCCCAGCGCCGGCATCACCGCCTCAGCTCCACCTCAGATCATCAGGCATTAGATTCTCATAGGAGCACCAGCTTCTGGTGCCAAAAAGTTTGGGGACCACTGCTGTAAGGGACAGAGGCCAGATCAAAGCCGAAGGGGGTGCCACGGAACACGATCCTCTAATTAGAACTCCCAGGAGGATTCGATCCTTACTGCTTCCCGATGTAGATCCAGCTAAGCTGCAAAATTTACTAAACATGAAACGCATGATTGACAGCCCCGAGGACCATGTCTCGTAGGACAGTTAAGAATTGAAATTGGCCTCCTAAAGTGCCTTCCACTAGAAGGTGCTCTCAAGTCCTCCTGGCCGGGCAGATAGTACACAAGGTCCCCAAATCAGTCGCTGTCTTTTTTAAGTCGAGGCCTTCCAGGTTCAGGTATTTACACCCGTGGCACTGACAGAAATGCCTTCGCTCAGCCTTCTGGCTGCACCGTGAGTGTGGCTTGAGTCAAGAACTCGGCCACCCATTGCGGGGTCCCACTTTGGTCTGAAATACTCAGTGGGACGCCTATCAGCCCTGTTGCCATCCAGCACCGTTTGACTGATTCAATATTCTGCAGGGGTCCCAGAATCTAAGATAATCACTGAATTCCAACAATATGTAATCTATTGAAATCCTTCAACTGAACGCCTTTTAAATTTTAACAAGAGTCCTACAGACAACAATATGGGCATTACCAGAAGGGAAGGGGGTGGGGGAGGACGGAGAAGGTAAAAAGGGGTCAAGTACATGGAGACGGAAGGAGACTGGACTCAGGTGGTGAGCCCACAATAGAGTATACAGATGTTGTCGTAAAGTTGCATGCCTGAAATTTATATGTTATTAACCAGTGTTATCCCAATAAATTTAACTAAAAAATAAATAAAGGGGAGTCACACTTTATAATAAAAGGCCTCTGCAATGACAGATTATATCCTTCTGAGGCCACCTACCTTCTCGATTCTAGATGTTAATTTTATTAGCAGGTGGAAATGTTCTAAAATACTGGAAATGGTAGCAAAATAAAACGCCGGCGCCCCTGGGCTCCTTATACCCACAGTCGGATCTAATTGCCCCAGGTAGTATGGTTGGCTTTGATCTCTCAAATCCATCCACCTTCCTGCCCCCCTGACTAATGTGACTCTATACCTAAAAGTTGTATATTTGGCTCAAAATTATTATATTTTGAATTCCAATGAAACTACTCATTGGAGCACCCTGGTAAACTCTGCCTAGATGCCTGGCTCATTCCTGATGGTGACAGCACTCTGAACGGCCAGGTCAGTGTCAATGAATGAACTTAATTCCAGGGGTGACTCCCATGTCACCTTCCCCCTTTATGCTCTCCTCTCCTTTAGATCCCTCTAAAAAAATCACACTCCTCCTCGAGTCTCTCCAAGAACAGAACTTTACGTCTTGGCTACTCCTCCCCCTTTTTCTCTTATACTCCAAATGCATCCAAAAATATGTATATTCTTAACTAAAACTTCAGCCCATGCCCTCAATCAAATTGTTGGGTTTACCATGGGCTGAAGAGGCCCTACCCTCTCCAATTACTGCCTACTCTGCTGACCTTCTCGAAACTTTAATTGAAGGCATTTCCCCCACCCCATAGCCCTACAATTATCCCCAAATTTTCAATGGTCGTTGAATGGTATACCAGACTCATTTCTTTCTTTTAATACCAACTTTTTTGATATATTGCATATACCCTAAAATTCATCCTTGCAATATGTAGAATTTAGTGGCTTTTAGTATATTTATAGACTTGTGCAACCATCACTACATTCTAATTTTAGGATGTTTTTATCACCCCGAAAAGAAACCTCGCACCCATTAGCTGTCGCTTTTCTTCCCCTGCTCCCCCCACCCCACCCCCCAGCCACTGGCAACCACGAATCTACTTTCCGTCTCTATGGATTTGCCTATTTGGGATATTTCATATACATGGAAGCACACAATTATGTAGCTTTTGTGTCTGGGTTCTCTCACTTGGCATAATGTTTTCCAGATTTAGACATTTGGTAGCATGTGTCAGTCTCTCGGTGCCAGCAGAAATGTCGAACCCAGCAACCTCCAACTTGCCCATGCACCCACTTTGGCCCCACCCCTTAACTACGACGAAGACCAGAGGCAGGCTTCCTATTCACTCGTGCTCCATTCTAGCCCCAACCAGTACCTTTCTCCTTGGGGAATCCTTTTGCTGTCTTTGCTGTTAAAATGTGATAAATCAATTTTATGCCATGTCCCTTGGTGCCTGAGTGCCTCCATTATCTAAGGCTGCGATCAAAGCGTTGGCTTCGGGGACCTGGTTGCTGGCAGAATTAATCTTTTCTCAGGTTATTGGGCTGAGAGATCGGGCAGGCTGTGTGCAAGGCCACTCTCAGCTAGCTCCAGCAGGGCGAGAAAGTGACGGACAGCCAGAGAGAGCGTTGAGTCTGTGGGTCTCATCCGTCTGCCAGGAGCAGGGAGGGAGCATGTAAAGTCTTCTGACAGGAATGGAGAAACATGATCAGAAGCCACGCTCTCTGCCCCAGGTGGCTGCTCCACTTGCCTGGGCCACCCTCGCACCTGCTCAACACTATTCTTTGTCCGGCATCAAAGATGTTAGAAATGGCTTGGAGCTGTGATGGAATGCAGATCTGTTCCCACCCCCTCTCCACCCCTGCTCCACATTCCCAGAAACCCATTCTTCCAAATTACCATGTCCTAGATTCAGAGAGGCTTTTTGTGTCTGGTTGCCCAACCCAAACTGGAGGTGAGCGAGAATCCTGCCAGGAGGATCTTGCCACATCTGCCACCAGAGAATTTTCCTTCCCATGCCAGACACCGTGGGCCGAGGGCAGCACTGTGCCTCGCCCACCTACAGGTCATACCACGTGATCCTTTCTGGGCCTGCGTTTCACTGAGAAAGTTTGCGTGTGAGGCTGACAGCTTTTGGCTCTTCACCTACCTGAGTGTATAGGCCACCCGGTGGGCAGGCTGGGGAGAGGTGACCGGTGGCTCTCACTATAGCTGTAGCTCTCACTGCCCCCGTGACTGCAGGACCCCCGAAATCTGCAAAAGACAACTTAGTAACTGGCTTTAGTAGGTTTGCCCCAGACTTATGGGGAAAGGGGATCCATTCATAGGCGTCACAGACTATAGCTTTAATCATTTTCTGTAGAACTGGGCCCAGAAAGAACACAGCCAGTCACCTAGGCAAGGGGGGACCACGGGGACCAGCGAGGAACTCGCTGTGGGCCTATAACTTTAATGGCTGATGTTCACTGACAGCTTACTCTGAGTTCCCAAACTTTCTTGGCTCCCGCCACCCTCGGTGTCTCTGTTTTCATGGTTCTCCTAAGCCAAAAGAAATATCCAACAGTTCTATTTGTGATTACTGTAGGTCCAAATAACTTAATATTTATGTTCTAATAATTTAGTACTCATTTAGGAAATAAATCACATCAATAGAAATAAAAAATGTTACTTTTCATTCTTTAATACACACCAGCACTTACTGATCAGCCGTGTGCCCTGGTCAGCTTCTCAAACCTCATCATTGGGCTGGACGCCCCCAGCCTCATTTTCTGTTCTATGATGGTTTTCACTTTGTATCCTCAGAACTACAGGAAATCAGGCTTCTCAAAGACACAAAAATAAATGTGGAGTGATCTAATGATGAAACTGTGAACCACCTGGACTTTTTCATTTGCTCAGAAATGTACAGTATCGCTGCTTCCCTCTAAAATTTAGGAAATTTAAAATATCCTCTGCGCCTTGCGAGTTTCCGGCAGGGCTTGGGGACTTCGGAACCACGGCGCTGAGGGGATTCACTCCCGCCATTTCTTTAACGGAGATAGACTACGGAGAAGGAACCTGTGGCTCAGACGGTAGATCCCTCCCCCCCACCCCGAGGTCACAGAGCCCGGCTTCAGCGCCCCCTAGAGGCTGCTAGAACACAACTCAAGTGAAGGTTGTTGGGACGGAAGGAGGAGGAGTCACCCGTTATGGGTGGGAGAACCCAGGAGACCTCATGCTGGAGTGGGTGTGGACAAGGGTCTGGCCTTCAGCCAGCGGCGGAGGGGGTGTGGAGGGGGAGGAGTGGGAAGGCCCCAAAAGAGGAACTGTTGGGGTGCAGTTGGGGGCTCCATGACCCTCCTGTGGCCCCCTTGATTGCCCTCATCCAGGTGTTCAAAGCCTTCGCAATGGGGTCTCAGTCCCCTTTCCCATAAGGGGCAGGGTGGTGGAAGGGACACGCCAGGCTAGGGGGTCTGCGTCTCTCATGGGCGTTGAGCCTGAAGCCGGGAGAGGCCAGTGGCCACGTTTACCTGCATTGAGACAACCATTTCCCTGGCCCATACTGGGCACAGGGTGGCCCTGACAGGACGCAGAAGTGGGCCCCGCACCTCAAGGAGTCTCCCGGGGTGCTGTGGGCAGAAATGCCTCAATAGATAGAAAAAGGATGGGGGGAGGTTAGGAGGCTGGGGATGCTTTGAAGACTATGGGCCGGGGGCGGCTGGAGCCAGGTCTATGGAATCTGTCCTATCCTCTAGACCCACAAGGGGCTGGCAGCTCGTCACAGTCTCCGCTGTGGTCCCTACAGTTCAGCAGAGGAGCTCCTTTCTCTCGGGCGGTTGGGTTGGGACTGGCAAAAGCTGGCGAGTTAAGGGAGGGGCGGAGTTTTCGGGAGGAGCACAGCCTGGTGGGCGGGGCGTAGGGGACCCACCCCCACCAGTGTTAAGTCAGGGCCTCTGGCGACAGTGCCCCAGAGGCCGGGTCGGCCAGACACGACCGCGGGCCCTCTCCTGACCTCCAGGGCCTGAGACTTCCCAGTCACGACAATACAAAATCTCTTTATTGTTCATTTTCTATAAAAAGTCGTGCCTCGTGGTGGGCCATGGGAATAGGACGTGCAAAGCCGCGACACACTCGGCCCAGGCCTGTAGCTGAGAGCTCGGGCAGGACGGGGGGTGACGGGCTACGGCAAGGGGATCTTGTTCCTGCTCCGAGGCCGGGGCACTAGCTAGGGGGCGGCGGGCCTGCGGAGGGGGTTCTCCGAGAGTGGGTTCGGCTGCGCTCTCACGAACCCCAGGCCCGGCAGGGGCGGGCGTGAGGAGCGGACCCCAAGCTCTAGGTGGCCCTGGGCTCTGGGAGGGTCATTTCCCAAACTTGGAGGTCCTTCCGGAAGATGGCGCAGGGATCAGGGGAAGTTCTCCCCCGCCTTCCTCCGACTCGAGACGCGGTAAACCGAGGCCAGAGAGCAGGCTGAGCTCCTTACTGCTGCTCCTCGGGCCCGTCGCCTCCCTGCGCCTGCTCGTAGGGGCAGGGCCGACGGCAGAGGCCGGCTGGCTCGGGGCCAGGCCGAGGCCCCGCGGGCAGCGCCTCCTCCTCTGCACCCTCCCCCCGCCCGCAGCCGTCGCCTCGCTCGCCCTCCGCGTCGCTCTCGTCCGAGTTGTCCTCCTCCAGGTAGCGGTAGCCGCGCACCTTGTGCTGGGGCCGGGGGATGCGAGGCTGGCGCGGGACCACGCCGCGCCGCAGCTTCTTCTCCATGCACAGGTACGAGATCGTGGCCGCCAACAGCGTGAGCAGCAGCACCGCCAGCTTAGCCTGGGCGCACAGGGAGGGATGCTGGGGACCCACCAGCGGCCGCCCCCCAGCCTCCCCTGCCCAGCCCCTCGCCTCACCCAGATAGCTCTACTGCCACCCGGAATCGTCCCTCTGCGTCCTCTCCTCCCGGGACTTCCCGTGCCACCGCTCCCTCCTTCAGGCCAGGCTCAAATCCCAGCTCTACCCCTCACAGGCAGACGTGAAGATGTTGATATGTGCGGCACACAGGCCTGGTGGCTCCCCTTTATTGGGGCTTAGGTTACTCTGTCCCTTGCATCCAAGGACCATAAGTAATGCTTCTCGGACGTTTGTGACTGTAACCCACAATCAGAAAGAATTCTACGTGGTAACTCAGTACCTACACACATATTCCCATGCATACTCCCTATTTTCTATTCTATTTCCTTTTTTAAAATGTGGGTCAAGACCTGCTAAACCGACCCATCAGCTGGGTGGAAGCTGAGCAGAGGACCCCGGCTTCCTGCAGGCCACGAAGCAGGACAGAGCCTGGGCATCCCTCTCAGACCCCGGCATCGAAGTGGCTGAGACACACCCGCAGGCAAAGAGCAAACTGTGAACCCCTTCGGACACTGGAAAACCTGCCCGCAAGAGGCCAGGCAGTGAGCAAAGGCTGGATGTGGGGCCAGCCCTTGGGGAGTGGTGCCCTTCAGGGGCTGTGAGGCCAGGGTGGGCACTCAGAAGGTATCTGTTGCCTGGATGGGGGGTGGTGGGGGTTACTTAATGCCCCAGAAGCCCTCTCCCCACCCCACTCAGCCTCACCTTCATGGGCAGGCTGGAGCCCAGGTACACGGCAAAGATGGCCACAGCCTGCCACCAGTGGTAGATGGTGAAGATGAAGTCTTGCCTCTCTTTGTCCTCGTACAGGATTCCCAGCAGTGCTGTGGGCAGGCAGGACAGGGCAGGAAGGGGAGAGGTGTCAACCAGGGCCCGAGGTGCCTGATCTCCCATTGTGATCCCCCTAGGTAGGCTCTGTGCCTTGGGAGCAGGAGAAAGCTGTCCTCGTCTGCCTCTTAGTGGAGACTCGGCTTATCGCACTGCCTGGGGAGCTGAGCGGAGGACGGAGCAGGTGAGACGGATGCAGATGCGCCTCACCCTGGGTCATGTGTGGCCTCAAAAGTGGAAAGCGTTACGCGCAGTCACATCCTGTCCTCCCTTAGACCCCAGGGCTCCCGCCAGGCCTGCGCCTCGCCCAGGGCCCAGGGAGGCGATTTGCTGCAGCAACAACCTTCTACAAATCAAACCTGAAGTTGGGAGGTTTGGACTTATGTCCCCCCAAACCCTGCCCTGGGGTGGGCAGAACAGGCATCGGACAGGGAATGGGGAAGACTCAGCTTCTACTCTCAGGACTGTAAGGTGGAGAGTTGCTGCATAGATGTGGATTCACATGTTGGCTCTGTGGGTGACTTGGGGTAAGTTAGCTCCCCGGGGCCTAACTTATGTTCTGTTGTGAGGTTTTAATGTGACAAAGCCCACACAGCACCTCGCAAATCATACCCTCGCCTGCCACTCAGCATATGAACACTCCTTCCTGAGGCCCTGCAGTGTGACAGTATCGCACAGGGCTGCTGCTAGGGACATGGAGCCCCAGGGTCCACAAGGAAGAGACAGGAAATGGAGCTGGGCAGAAGGGGATGCCAGGACCAGGTCCAAGTCCAGACATATCACGTGCCCAAGGCACCCAGGCTGGGTGCTGCCCAGAGCTGGCTGTCCCTAAGCAAAACAGCCACAAGAATGTTGTCCAGTACGTGGGTCTCCATCCCGACCGATACAGACGCCTGACTCTCTCTGATGGTGGGTGCAGGAGTCACCAGAGCCAGCCCCTGTCCTGCCTGTCACAGGCATGACCTCCACCACACCACAACCCCGGGGTGGTGTTCAAAACTGTTAACACACTGGCCCATCAGAACAGATGCCAATGTGGAGGACCCAAATGGCTGCATCTGTGAGTATCCACTGCATGTCACCGGCATGCCCAGCTGTGGGCAAAGGACATCACACAGCTGACCTCTGACCTACCCCTTCCTTTCTGCAAACAGGGCCTTGTTCCCTAGGGCCCCCACCCCAGCAGCCCAGACCTGGGGCCTGGACTCTGCTACGCCGCAGACGAGTTGGGGCTTCCTGTCTGCTCCCAGCTCCTCTATAAAAAGTCCGTATCTGCACCCACACCCTGGGTATGGACAGGGCCACATGCCGCTTCCCATGCTCTCTAGGGCACAGACCCAGGATCAGTTCCCAGTGTCATGAAAACCATGCCAAATGGGCCCTGTCCCCTGGTATAAAAACAAGGTATAGTGTTTTTCTACACTATCCTTCCGGGGTGTCCACAGAGCCCCATACCTACCCCATGGGACCACGAGACCTCACACTGAAGCCCCAGGGTCAACAGGGTGCCATGCCCACCCACGGGTGCCCACATGAGGCCCGTGGCATGCAACTCCCATACCTGCCCCCAGGGTGTCCACGGCCCTCCCCATCTGTCCCTATAGTGGCCATGGGACTTCCTTCCACCCCTGGAGTATCCGCAGGGATCCCCGCCTACGTCTACCATGTCCACAGGACCTCACGACAGACCTTCCTTTGTCCCTGGGATGTTTATGCTGCCCCCAACTGCCCCAAGGTGGACCCAAGGCCCCTTGCCCAGCTAGCCCAGCACCCATGGCTGTACTCACTGCTGAGCCCAGTCTTGTTGAGGGCACTGCCCACACCCCAGAGGACAGCTGCCACGTAGAGTATCCAGATGTGCTGCAGGACCCGAGGGGCGGGGGCCCAGAAAAAGAGGCCGAGAGTGAGCAGCAGGTGGAGTCCGGCCCCGGACACCAGGGGCACCTGGCGCGGCAGCCATAGCCCCAGCAGGCCCAGGGCTGAGGCGGCCGCGGCGCCCAGGCTGTAAGCCACGAGGAGGTGGGCCAGGCGTTCCAGACCCACGGAGCACACGCCGTAGCCCTGGGGGGACAGAGGCGAGCATGTGAGGCGACATGGCCCAGGTTCTGGTTCTCCCGACATGAGGTTTCGCTTTAGGCTACACCGTGCCCTCTATGGGCCACCCTGGAGCCACCTCCCTCCGAGGCTCTTGTCCCGGGGGGGCGGGACAGAGAATGAGAAAATGCTTGGACATTGTCCCCAGACACCAAGGCTGCACCCTGCATGGAACCAAATACTTTATGGGTGCTATCCCAACTCAACGGTATAACACCCTGGGAGTGAGCGTGGTCACTAGACTCACTTCACAGATGAGGAAACTGAGGCTCAGAGAGGTTAAAATAATTCGTCCAAGGTAGGGACAAAGGACATAAAGGAAGAGAAGAAAAGGGATAATTGGGACGGACTCGTACATACTTAGGGATATATTGAAAACTTATTCGTGGTTTATCTAAAATTCAAATCGAACTGGACCTCCTGTGTTTTTTTCTGCCAACTCCACGCAGGCTGTACGTACCAGGGCGAGACCAGTGCAGGCAAAGAGCACCTCGAAGCCGCTGTAGATGAAGAAGGGTACGAGGTGCCGCAAGCGGAAGTCGCGCACGTGCTTGAAGGGCAGCTGGAAGATGTTGCCCCAGCCCACGCTGCGCAGGTCGATCTCCTCCGTGGGCCGGTACGCGGCGCCGCACAGGCCCAGCACCTG